ATAAAAGAAAAAACAAAAAGGGAAAAGGAGTAAACCATAGTTGCTAGTTCCGGGGAAAACTGGCTGGCGGGAAAGAAGAAGTAGAAGAAAAAAAATAACAAAGAATGAGGAAACATAAAACATGATAACCAATAAGAATAAGTCAGTAGAGAGCCAAGTAACATGTTGAACCGGTTTTAAGCATCTGACAAGATCAATGTGATGTTACTATTAGAAGACCGCTAATATATATTTCAAATTATTTAATGTTATTTTTATAGTCTAACTTGGTTTGACATATTTTCCCTCCTATCTACGTGATGCAAATTGCAAAACATGAATTTTCAAGACAGATATTAAAGGCCCAAATGACATCTCTTTTTTATTTTATGCATTTTGATTTTGAAAAATATAAAACGAAATTATGAAATACAGAAGAAGTTATTTTTTACTTTTTGGTTTGATGTTTTTGAAATTAACGTGATTATTACTATAAGCATGATGAGATTAAGTGAAAAAGACAATTCAAACATCCACTGAATACAACTTTAGACTTAAAATGCTTAAAACGAAACAAAAACAGCCACTCAACATTTCAAAGTAAAAGCGTATCTAAAATGCTTCTGCCAACACTTCTATAATTGAATTCATGCCTCTAAGGTTACAAAGCTTTCAATATGTTTTGATCGATGTCTTTAACTTAGCGTACTTATAAAAAACAACCAAATTAAGCTATTGATATTCATGGAGAATTAAGCCAGTGCATGATCTTATTTATAACTTATAACTTATAAGCACTCAATAACATTTTACTTCAATAGTACAAAATTACATAAAGTTATTTGTTGTTCTATGTTGTTGATGGTGGTAGTTGATACATAGTACTATCTCATGTTATGACGAGTTATATCTCACATTCTTCGTTGTTGATAAATGAGTCGTTCAGTCAAACTCAAGCAAACTTGTTAAACAATCAAATTGAGCTCGAGCTCAATTACTTTTAACTTGTGGCCAGGGGTGGACCTAGAAAATCCATCTTGGGGGGTTCAAAATACTTTTTGGGAGGCGAAAATTATTTTTCATACCCTGAAAAAAATTGTTGGGGGGCGAGGGCGGTAGCCCCTGAGTCTCTACTATGGTCCGCCCTTGCTTGTGGCTTTGTGGGCTCGCGAGTAACAACACATTTATATATAAATAAGTAAATACACACACCAAACATGTTACATATAATATTTACTGAAATATATTTGTATTTATATATTTTAAAGTTAAATTGGTTGTATAATAAGAAGTAAAATTGGGAGAGAGAATGTAATCTAATAAAAAAAGAAAATCATAAAGTACAAATATATATATTACTACGGTATTTATGTGTATAAATATAATTAATAACACTAATAATTTGGAAAATTGAAAGTTTATTGTTAGCTTGAATTCAAACTCGAGTTTTAACATTTTATCTTTGCCAGAGCCGAGGCCAAATTAATCGATTCGGCTTGAGCTTGTCCAAGCTCACTAGCATAGGCCGGACGGTATATTGGGGTGAGCCGGTACAAAGAATATTTTTGAAAAATGTTTTACACATAAAAATTTAAACAAAATTAATAATTGGGATCGGCTGGGCAGGGGCGGATGGTGTAGTGTTCAAGGGTATGCACTTGAACACCCAAAAATTTCAAAAAAAATTTAATCAAAAAATTTGAAATTTTTTTAAATAATGACGCACAATAAGGTATAATATGTAACTGAGTGTGTATTGAGCAATGTTCTTGAGTAGCGTAGTTGGATGGCTTGTGCCTTTACGTACAAGATAGTTGTGGGATTGATTCCCAAGGATGTGGGAATTTTTGTTTTTGAGAATGTTTCTTATTTCCCATTCTATCTTTTCCCACACCTGTAAATGAATAGCTTCGCGCTCCAAAAATCGCAATGTAGTGAAGGCTAAGATACGTTTAAGTATCTATGAATGTCGTTGGGCTTATGGGGCTCAAGTATTCAACAAGTTCCAATGAGCTTTTAGATATTGAGTTCAAGTTTTATATATTAAATTTAGTTGGTTTCTTTCGGTTTTGGATAAGCCAAACGTTTCGGGTACAAAAAATCGGTACCCGTTTTTATAATAACGGTTTGGTTTATGTTGTCGTATATTGGTGAATCGAAATACCGGGTCGGTTCGGGGATATAATGAATTGGTTAGGAACCCAAACCAAACCCAGCCCTAGTGTTTTGATTGATAAAAATATAATTGTTGAATTATAGCATTAGATATGATTATTGTGATACTTTTAACTTTAGTTTCGAACACCCTAAATGTAAAGTCTAGATCCGCTACTGCGGTCGGGGCCGAGCTTCCCCGTTCAAGCTCAATTTCGTCTCGGTTCGTTTGCACCCTTAACCCTAAGGGCTCGTTTGCACTCCTAAGTTGTTGAATTTTGCTCCTCTCCATTAATTGGAAATCTCCATTAGGAGAGAGATAGAGAGAGGTGGAGATATGGTGGGGTAAAGAAAAGAAAAGATTATGTTTAATTATTTTTTTGAGAAGAGAGATAGAGTGAAAAAGAAATGGAAAGAGTAAATGGATTGAAGGAAATAGAGAGGAGCATGAACCTAACTTGTTGTATCCAGTTTCTCTGATTGGATTTGGCAGCCAGGTAGGTGCCAAAGTACATTTCACCACTGTCGTTGAGTATCCGGCAAAGATATTACTATTACTTGCTTTGGTGCAGTGCGGCTACACTACACATAACATATCCTTGTTTGTAAAGTTTGTCTTTAGATATCAAAAAGTACAGTTTTTCTGTAATCAAAATTTATACTTTATTCTCCAAATTTATGCCTAGGAAAGAAATTATACAAGCTCTTCGGATGGCAAATAATAGTGGAGTGTTTCGGTGCTTGCTTGTTGTTAGCTCGACTTAACCACGTTTCCCTTTCTATTTTTGCCTTAGAATCATACTTATAGGATCATGATTTGCTTTCGTATTTGAATGTTTATTTCGTAGTGTTTCATGGTGTTTTTTATGTGTCATTTAGTGATTTGTGGCTATGATAGAAACATGGTGACTGGATTGATTAATTAACAATGCCAAAATGGATTTCATGATGCTTGTGGTCTAGTTAGTGATCTAGAATGCACCTTCCAATGATTATTTTAGATCCCAATTCCCAAATTAGGATGGACACACCGAAATTCTACCTAAAGTAATTAAATTGATCAAATACATGAATGAATTTATAGTTTAAGAACCCGTTTGGTAACCAGAAAATCGGCTGAAATGTATGAAGTTATGGCTGAAGTGGTTGTATTGGCTAATTCTGCTGATTTAAGAAATAATTATTTTTGAAATATATTTTATTAATAAAATAAAGAAAAAATTATATGTAAAAATAGTTAAAATGGTCATCTACATTAATATCAGCCAATACAGCCAGAAAAAAGTAATTCCAACTTTACCTTTTCTTATTATTACAAAATTCAGCGCGCGAAAACAAATATTACATGTTTGGTGAAAAAAATGAGTAAACACCGTGTTTCAAAAATAAAGAAAGAGAAGTTTCAAAAATATTACTGAATATACTACGAAATAAAGAAAGAGCAGTTTCAAAAATATTACTGAAATTAAACTTTTTTACAAAAATATGAGTAATAGTTACTAATAATACTATAGTATAATACCATATTCATTTCAGTGTAAAACGTGAACACACATTACTACATTGTTACTATACTCACTACACTTAGAGCCCATTTGGTAATATCTAAATAGGCTATATTGGCTAATTCTTCTGAAAAATTATGAAGTTCTGACCGAAGAGGCTGGCTTGGCTGATTTTGTTGATAAAACAATTATATTTAAAATATATTTTGTTAATAAAATAAATAAAAGATTATATGCAAAAACGGCTAAAATGATAATCTACACTAACTTCAACCAATACAACCAGAAAATTAATTCCAACCTTACTTTTTCTTATTACTCGTATTATGGCATTCGGCAAGCGAAATCAAAAGTTACTTATTTGGTGAAAAAGTTGGTTGATAAGTCTAATAAGTAAAAAAAGTCACCACACGGGTTCTTAGTAGGTTACAATCTTAAATAACATTTATTTAAACAAAAAGTTATATGAAAATAAATTAAAATACTCATATTCATCCAAATTAGTCAATACAATTAGGGAAAACTGTCAAATAGGTCCTCGAACTTTTATAAAAAAAGTCAATTAAGTCCTTCTATAGGAGACTCTGTCCGGTCTTCGCGATTTGGGGCGGTTACCGGTGGAATTTTTTGATGAAATTTTTTGAGCATCTTATTCATCAAGTCTAGTTTACTCATACCAAATTTTTGCTAAAAATTTAATCGGGAGCGCATTCAAATTAATTCGAGAACGCAAAAATGCGTAATTATCTTCAAGAATTAATTTGAATGTGTTCCCGATTGAATTTTTAGCTGAAATTTGGTATGAATAAACTAGACGTGAATAAGATGCTAAAAAAAATTCATCAAAAAATTCCACCGGGAACTGCCCCAAATCGCGACGGCCGGACAGAACCTCCTATAGAAGGACTTAATTGACCTTTTTATGAAAGTTTGAGGACTTATTTGACAGTTTTCTCATACAATTAAAATGCTCATACTCATATTCTTTTTTTTTGTGATATACAAAATTTGAAATCACACATATATGAATATATGACTAAAGTAAATGTTGTTAACAAAAATGTTACCTAGTATATCTTACTTTCGGATGTATTCAGAAAAATGTGATCTCCTATATATAGTGATTATAGTAGTAATTTAATCATAGTAATATGTTCAATTTTTACACTTAACTGTCTATGAGATTAAACTTTAACATTTATTATCATATTTTTGGTAAGTGAGTTTTATTTGAGTAATATTTTTAAAAAACTTTTTTTTTAATTTAAAAATGGTAAAGAAATGATGCTTGTCTCGAAAAAACGAGATAAAATACTTTCACGGACGGAGAAGTCTGCAAGTCCTACTGTACTATTACCAGAAGTTTGTTTTTAAATTTTTATTAGTAAACGAGACTCCATTAAAGGCCATCAAAATTTATGATATTTGTGATTATCCAAACGCTTTCTCCGTCGCAGCTTCCGCGAGCTGCGTTTGCTGCAATTCAATTGCATCAGACGAAAAGAATTCAGTTCATTTCCCCTTTCAATACATCTTCATTATTCCAATTAGATTCTGCTCTTCACCAGTGGATTCACTTTCCCCCACAATATCTCTATACACGGATTTGTGCGTAAATCAGCAGGGCAGTTCGTGTTCATCTGTCAATTACTGGAGTGAAGTCCACTCCGGTGATACCCCACTCGATCCATCGTTTTGTATTTGTACCGCCGGAAGATACACTCTCCGCTTCACTTCCCGATTTTGTCTCAACTACAGCACGGCGACTTCGTGCTGCCAGGTGGGCTATTGAGGACTGTTAATCCTGCCGAACTCGTAGGTTGGAGTAATTGATTCGTTGATGCTTGCTGCATGGGATGGGACGGCTGTATGTGTTTGATGATGAATTGGGCGTGTGAAGTGGCTTTGAGTCCAGTTCTGGCTTGCTCAATCGTGTTCACATCTCCGATAGGATGAATTCAGATGTTAGCAGAGCTGGTGGACCGGTTGAAAGGGACATTGAGCAGGTAATTTCTTCTTAAACACACGCATTCATAAAGACACGCACGCACACTGGCCTTTGTTATGAGGAACAAGACCTCGACAGCTCAACAATTAGATCTAACTGTGTTCTATGCAAGTTGGTGCTTTGTTCTTATTCTTATTTTTACCGGTGGTGCTGTATTGTTGTGGTACTTGTCAATTTGACATAATCATCTATAATGTTTCTTAATTTGCCAAAAATATTTGTACAATAAGCTCTTTTCGACCGCAAATGTAAATTATTGAGCTACTGACATATTGAGGAACAAGTCTTCTACTTATAGGATATTGAGGCCTTAGTACCTTATTGAAGTAATTGTTCCCTTCAATATTGCCAACTCCTTGCTACAGTTGGGTGTTAATGAGTAAGCCTTGCATAAAAGTGTGCATAACATTGTATGCAACAGGACAATGCTCATAAGATTGTATTCATTTATTTAGTTTCATTGCCACCTTTTACCTATTATATGCTATTATGTACCTCCTCGTCCCGATGCAAACTTGATTGTGTGAAGTGACACACTTATTAAGAAAGTGAAACTGCGTGGTTGAATTTATTTAAGAAGGCCAGAACAAATGTGAGCCACACGTTTTTTTTCTTAAAAGTAAATTTAAGTTTATTGTGTGATACCTAACAAGGAAGAAGTGAAGTTTATATCGGACAGAGGGAGTACGATTGTATGTACACTATCGTTTTTAGGCGAAGTGCATGAACTGATTCATTCTAGATCCAAATAATATTCATTGGAATGTGAACTCTAATTAGTTAGATAAATGTTGGATGTATAGTGGACTGTATAGTGTATGCACACAGTCAGTTTTGAATCAGAGACATAACATATGATTAAACATTGAACCATCAAGATAAGATAGCTACTAGGTAATTAACATTTCCAGAGACTATAGTTGCAAGCTAGCAGTTGGCATTACATCTCTTTTCATTCATTATAATTGTTTCCTTTCTCCTCACGCCTTTATATACAGGGTTACCAACCAGATTTTTAAATGGTTACTTGGATTGTAGAAGTTTCAGGATTGCATATTGAGTTTTTTTATAGATTGATATACCAAAAGAATGTAATAGAGGACAGCAATGCATATTTTTTTGGGATGTTGGTACCATTCACTCTAACATACCAAACTAGTTCATTGTTATCATGTTATCCCTTTTATGGAATGAGAATATAAAAATCAACCTCTTGCATTCTGAAGTTCGCGAGACTGCCATGAGACTAGAAGATATATCATTTGCATCAGTGTTATTGTTTTTCTAAATGTGAAGTACAATTTTTTAACATTTTACAACTGTTTTCCCCTTCTCCTAAGAATGGTACCTTGCTTGTTTTCTATGTGGGGTAAACATATGTAAGGGTATTTAATTAGGCTATCAGTTTAATACTGCTTTTTTGTTCGTTTTCAAGAGGCTTTTTTAATACGTGAAGTTCATTTTTTTTCATTTGCTACTGTTATCCTTTCTCCTGAGAATGGTAGTTGCTTGTTATCTTTGTGGGGTAGACATTTTAAAGGTTATTTAGGTTATCACTGATTTTGATTTGTTTCAACAGGCTGTAACTGCTCTTAAGAAAGGGGCACACTTGCTCAAGTATGGAAGAAGAGGAAAACCCAAATTTTGTCCTTTCCGTTTGGCAAATGTAAGTTTCATTGCGCTATATTACAATCATTCTTCTTTGTATTCTCTAGCTACCTTTGGTCAGGTGTCAATGCTCTACATGCTTTGATGCAAGATACATCTTACATTTATGTCTACTTTTATGGTAATCCTTTCATTACTATGAGATATGCTCAAGCCTATATAAGGAGATATGCTCTTGCACATAATATCTTCCCAAACATTATCCGTTTCACCTTTTTTCAATATTTGCTATTACTTCCTAAAAATGGATGCACATTAATCTACCAGCCAATTTTGGAGATGTCTTATACTGAATGTCTGGATGCTTAATGAAAATAAGGACATAAGGTAGTACACAGCTGTGGTCTATATTCTAATGTTTCCACAAGCAAGTAAACATGTTACTAGGCTGTTAAGCTGTTTATCTCCATTTCATAACAGAACTGGTGTGACCCTTTCTGTTTGGTAGTCTCATTTAGGCTTGGACTAATCAACCAATCTACTGGCAAATGGTTTTTGTGTGGACAGTTTCTCTTTGACTCTTTGTTACTCCCTCCGTATTTAAAACTTTGCTACACTTTCCTATTTGGGATGTATTTAAAAGTTTGCTACACTTTCCCTTTTGGGTAAGTTTTTCCTTTAAAAATACTCAATTACCCATACGTTTTCTACTTTTTATCTTCTCTTTCCTACTTTTCCACTTTCTCTCCTACTTTTTCTACACTATTCATTACCCCTACTATTTTCTCCTAAAACATTGTGCCAAAAGCTATTGTAGAGAACATATAAATACGGAGGGAGTATTTTATTTGGGAAGGGACCATTTCCAATAGGCCATTAAAAAAACTAAGTGTTAAGAGTGTGCAAGCGGGATCTAGTCCAAGGTCTCGTGAAGCGCAGCAGAAGGGTTGGGCGTGTGTCTCTTGTGTGGATCAATTGTTCTTGTTGAATCAATCGGTGCTCAAGACATGCCAGAATCAATTCTCCAAATGTATTTTATAAATTATTTAAGTATGACTTGAAGATCCTTATATAGTTATTATAAGAGTCCTATTGATAAAAAGAAACGTAGAGCTGCTAAAACTACTTGATTAGAATATGACAAAATTTATAAGAATATAACATATGTGACTGCTTGCGTGAACTGTAAGACAGTCATGCTCGCCTTGGTCCATTGATCAACCACTTTCATTGGCACAGCCCATGGTCTTGTTTGCCTGACCCAGTTGACCCTTCAAACCTCGATGACGTTGATAGGTTCGGCCCAGGAATGGTCTAAATCACTTTGTAACTCTATGTGCATGGAATCTCAAATCCTCAAGTTGTTACACTTTCTTGTTTTCTCCTTTTCTTACACTTGTACTCAGAGTCCATTTAAAGTCTTAAATGTAATTATGTACTATTTTCAGGATGAATCTACTCTAATTTGGATTTCGGGTAAAGAGGAGAAATATCTTAAGCTGAGTCATGTCTCCAGAATAATATCTGGACAACGTACTGTAAGTGTCCTTTTGTGAGGAGCGCTCCTCTATATGCTTATCTGTACATGATTAACAAGCTTAAAAGAACTTCATATCCCAATCATAAATAACTCTATGGTTCTTATACATCTTTTTTCTCAAAAATAATAAACCTCTTAAATTTGTTGCATGTATGCTAGCATGCAAATAAAATTTTCTAGTAGCAGTGGATTGTACCTGACAAGTGATCAATTTCTTTCATCAATTCATAGCAAAAGGTGTTTTTAGTAAGCTTGGATTGTGTTACTTGATTGTGCTAAACTTTAATAATTTTCATTGCTAGCCAATTTTTCAAAGATATCCAAGGCCTGAGAAGGAGTACCAATCATTCTCCCTGATATACAATGACAGGTCTTTGGATTTGGTAAGAGTTTCGGTCTAGCTTAGCAGTTGCCTTCTATTTCAGGTTAATCTGTTGACTGTAACTTCTGTGTTCGTCCTCTTCACTCTATCTGTACTAGATATGTAAAGACAAAGATGAAGCAGAAGTCTGGTTTAGTGGCTTAAAGGCATTGATTTCACGTGGTCATCAACGAAAGTGGAGAGAGTCAAGAAGTGATGGGATTTCATCAGGTGCTACTAGTCCCAGGACCTACACACAAAGAAGTTCCCCATTGCATTCTCCATTTGGTAGTAGTAATAGCTCACAAAAGGTATTTTGTGCCTTGTCTTCTCACACATTTTCAGTATGTAAAGTTTTCACATATTTAATTTTTGCCATGACATGTATGTGGATTCAAAAAAAAAAGCCTGGTGCTATATGTTGAACTAGTTTTTACCTCTCTGAAACAGGATCTTAGTGATCAGCTAAGGCTTCACAGCCCATATGAAAGCCCACCAAAAAATGGTATGGGCAAGACTTTCTCTGATGCCATATTGTTACCTCCCAAATCATTCTTCCCTTCAGATTCTGCTAGTGTCTCTCTGCATTCCTTGTCTTCTGGTGGCTCAGATGGAATACATGGTCACAAGGCAACAGCGATAGATGGTTTTAGAGTAAGCCTTTCAAGTGCTGTTAGTTCAACAAGTCAAGGTTCTGGGCATGATGATGGAGATGCCCTGGGTGATGTTTTTATATGGGGTGAAGGTACTGGGGATGGTGTAATGGGCGGTGGACCCCATCGTTCTGGACGCTCTTTGGATGTCAAAATGGATTCTTTATTGCCTAAAGCTTTAGAATCTGCTGTTGTATTAGATGTGCAGAATATAGCTTGTGGTGGTTGCCACGCTGCTCTAGTCACAAAGCAAGGAGAAATATTCTCATGGGGTGAGGAATCAGGAGGCAGACTTGGGCATGGTGTTGATTCAGATGTTTTGAACCCAAAGCTTATTGATTCCCTAAGCATTACAAACATAGAGCTTGTTGCTTGCGGCGAACATCATACATGTGCTGTAACACTTTCTGGTGATCTGTATACTTGGGGTGAAGGTCATTTTGGTCTTCTTGGGCATGGGAATGAAGTAAGCCATTGGGTTCCAAAGAGAGTAACCGGGCCTTTAGAGGGTATCCATGTCTCGTATATCTCTTGTGGACCATGGCACACTGCTGTTGTGACCTCGGCTGGGCAATTATTTACCTTTGGTGACGGAACCTTTGGTGTTCTTGGCCATGGAGATAGAAAAAGCATTTCTAAACCCAGGGAAGTGGAATCTCTCAAGGGGCTTCGGACTGTACGAGCAGCTTGTGGTGTTTGGCATACTGCTGCTGTTGTAGAAGTGATGGTTGGAAACTCAAGCTCCAGTAATTGTTCTTCTGGAAAGCTGTTTACATGGGGAGATGGTGATAAAGGTCGACTTGGACATGGTGACAAGGAATCAAGACTTGTGCCGACCTGTGTTGCTGCTCTGGTTGAACCCAACTTTTGCCAGGTCGCTTGTGGACACAGCTTGACTGTTTCTCTAACCACTTCAGGTCATGTATACACCATGGGAAGCCCTGTTTATGGCCAGTTAGGAAATCCTCAAGCTGATGGGAAACTTCCATGTCGTGTTGAAGCAAACCTTGCAAAGAGTTTTGTGGAGGAAATAGCTTGTGGTGCTTACCATGTTGCTGTGTTGACCTCCAGAACTGAGGTTTACACGTGGGGAAAGGGAGCAAATGGTAGACTGGGTCATGGGGATATGGATGACAGAAATTCACCAACTTTAGTTGAAGCTCTAAAAGACAAGCAAGTCAAAAGCATTGCCTGTGGTACCAATTTTACTGCAGCTATCTGCCTTCACAAGTGGGTTTCAGGGGCAGATCAATCCATGTGTTCAGGATGTCGACTACCTTTTAATTTCAAAAGGAAACGGCATAACTGTTATAATTGTGGACTTGTCTTTTGTCACTCATGCACCAGTAAGAAATCCCTGAGGGCATCTATGGCACCGAATCCTAATAAATCATACCGTGTTTGCGATAATTGCTTTTTAAAATTAAAAAAGGCAGCCGAAACTGATGCTTCAAGTCAGTCTTCCATGAGAAGAGGAAGCATGGGTCAGGGACTTAATGACATTATCGATAAAGAAGAGAAAATGAATACTAGATCCCGTCCTTATTTCGCCACGTTTTCTTCAATGGAATCCTTTATCCAAGGGGAAGGTCATACTTCCAAACAAAATAAAAAGTTGGAACTTAATAGCAGTCGTTTATCACCTATTCCATCCAGTAGCTCTCAATGGGGAACTCTCAATTCCTCCAGACCTTTTAATCCAGCATTTGCTTCATCTAAGAAATTTGTTTCAGCTTCAGTTCCTGGATCAAGAATTGTTTCTAGAGCAACATCTCCAGTATCAAGACGACCAACTCCACCTCGTTCTACTACACCTACCCCATCTCTCGGTGGGCTTACTTCAGATAATCCTAAGAAGACACTTGATAACCTTGAACAAGAAGCCATCAAACTTAGAGCACAGGTAAGCATCTTAGTATTCTACAATGAATGGATTATCTGATGGAATTTCATTACAATGAATGGATCTGAGGATTCGGTTATCTGTGCTTTTCAATTTAGACTCTTGTGTATTTCTCCGGAAGCCTAAACTTTGTAGTCTCTTTTAAGTTGTAACCTATACAATCAACTGTCAAGGGGATCTCGTAGCTTCCTGTTGTATGCTTCGCAGTGGCATGCCTCTCAATGGATTTTCCAAGTTCCTACTCATTAAGGATGCTATTACATGGACTGTAATTTGTCCCAGACCAGACCAGACTTGGATAATTATAAAAATACAAAGAGACCAGACATTACCAGACCAATTCAAACTAGACCAGACCAGACCAGCAAATTACAGTCCAAGTAAAAACATCCTAAGGATTACAACTTACAAGGGAGCATTTAGAAGATTTGTTTGACTTAAAAAAAGATGGAGTAAATCCAACTTATGTGAAGAGTGTAATCACTTAAATTTTATATTATGCGAGAAAAATGAATATTTGGAGTGACATTTCAACTCAAAATCTGCATGCCATTGTTTTTGGAAATTTGTTTCTCAATGATATTCTTGGATGAAACCTAAATTTTGCACTTTAAATATTTATCTAAAGCTCTAAACTTATTCATTACAAACTTTATTTTGACTCGGATTTTCTTTAACTGCTTGTCTTTTTGCATGTGGTACTGTGATAGGAATGTCATTTCACTATTTCCATCGCCTTTCCAGTGGCTTTTGTGTGTGATACTGTGATATGATTGACATTTCACTGCTTCCATCGCCTTTCCATTCTTAGCATGTAGTTTGATATTTATCTTAGGTGGAAAATCTAACACGCAAGGCTCGACTTCAAGAGATAGAACTAGAAATGACTACCAAACAACTGAAGGAGGCAATGGCAGTAGCAGAGGAGGAGAGTACCAAGTGCAAAGCGGCAAAAGAAGTGATCAAGTCACTTACTGCTCAGGTATGATGGGGTATATTTTGTTAATGTAATCCCTAGTTTATGGATTTGGTGTTTGATTTTGTTAACAACCATTCTTCGTGTACAGCCTGGGCATGTACACATCCTTTTTACACGCCACACAAACAATTTCCAATTTTTTGCGGGGGGGGGGGGGGGGGGGGGGTGCAAAAAACGTGTACAAAAGGAATTTTCCTCTTTTTAATGCATGCTACAAGTTGTGATTCTCGATTAATAAAGGAACAATCTATAAAGAGATCAATGAAACTGATATGGCTATTGATTGGCTCAAACTTTGTTGATTGGTTATATTTCAAGTTTGAAAGTGATCTGCTGTGGTTTCTTCATTTCCTTGTTGGGCGTTCCTATGTGCTGTAATATCTACTATAAAAGGGAGTTTTGTTTTGCTAATACGACAAAGAAGAATTAATTAAGAATTGATATGTTAATTAAGGACAAGAGGAGCTGCATAAGTGTAACAACCATTGGTATACATTGGCCACAAAGCGATTTGAAATTCGATCAGCCATACCTATCAATCTTTTCTGGACCCACAACTTCTATTATGCATTTTTTTTTTATCATGATAGCATTCTTGAACTTCTATTATTCATTTGACTAAGAGGATTCCCTGATTTAGCAACTACACATAACACATGAACAACCATAATGTACGCATGATTTGACATTTCCCCCCTGTTTGTATTTTATCTGTCTATCAATTTTAATATTTGTTTTTATAATTGCTGTGGCTAAATATCAGTTTGATGTTGACCACTTGATGTAGCTCAAAGACATGGCTGAGAGATTACCGGTCGGGGCAGCCCGGAATATCGAGCCTCCCATATCTGCTTCCTCTGGCTTAGGTCCCTTCTCTAGTGATGTTTCAAAAGTATATATTGATGATGATATTGGACAGTTATCTTCTCATGAATTAGAGTCAATTGGATCTAAAAGCCATCTACTTTCTAATGGATCAAGTATCGCTGGTAATTGGAACATTGGTCATGTGAATTCTGATGCAATGGCAAGAAATGGGAACAGAAAAAAAGACAGTGATCTCCGAAAGGAGAATGAATGGGTTGAGCAAGATGAGGCCGGAGTGTATATTACACTTACCTCTTTGCCGGGTGGCATGAAGGATCTTAAGCGTGTCCGCTTCAGGTATCTTAATTCTCACTATATGTTACTGTGTCTGTACTCTTCATGTTTTGGATTAGACATCTCACAATGTCTAAGAAAAAATTGGGTGTTTCAGGTTTATTTAGAAAAAAGGGATAAGACATATCTATCACCTTAAAAACAGGAAAATAATATTGGAGTGGACTAAATAAGGATGTAAGAAAATTAATAGGTGTAGGGATATTATTTTTTATTTGATCCCTTTTGTGTTACTCGGATGAGGGAGTAGCTAGAAAATGTTTTCCATTTGGTCCTGTGACCTTTCATTTCCACTTTTGGTCCTCAACTTTCATTCTTTCCACTTTTGGTGCACGACTATGTTCTTTTTTCCACTTTCGGACTTTGTGATAACTTATTTAGCAAAAAATCAACCTCAAAATGTAGTCAATTGGTCTGATAATTGATCATAAATCAATACTCGTGCACTAAGGATGTTTTTAAGTGAATCGATTTCAGTCTCAAATCAAACTAGACCAGGCTTAAACAGACCAGACAAGATCAGACTTCGACAATAGTTAAATACACATAAAAGTTTTATGATAAAACAAACATCAACTAGACCAGTTCATTCCAAGACTATACTAGAATTTTTCAATTCAATTAAAAACATCCTAAAAGTGAAATAAGGAAGTTGGGGTCCAAAAGTGAAAAAATAATATACTAGTGATGGGAGTGAAAATGTAATATCTTCATTTAGTAGATATCTCAACTTTGATTAAGAACATCTTAACTTCACCAATCAAGTTTTATAAGCTTACTTTCCATGGTATGCATGAGCTGAAAGTATCTTCTTTCTATAACTGTTTAAATGCAGCCGCAAGCGGTTTAGTGAGAAACAGGCTGAACAGTGGTGGGCAGAAAACAGAGGTAGAGTTTACAAACAGTACAATGTACGCACAGTTGACAAGTCGAGTATTGCCACCGGAAGTGAGGAATAAACTCCAACATGTTACTCTTACATCCACACTAATAAAAGGTCTTTTCTTGTCACCTTCCTCAACGTTACCGCTTTAGCCACATAACACCCAATTAGAACTGAGTTGAGGGTTGAATTAGAATTAGTTGTTTGCTTGTGGGGGTTTCTGTCCAATCCTGCTTACCCATCATTCTTTTTTAGCACCCTAATTTCCGATGGCCTGGTATAGTTCATTTTCTTTGACCTCCTTGATCATGCCTTTTACCGAAGAATTGTGAGGACGTGAGGGTTAGAAATGTAAATTCAGCTTAGTGTATTGCCGCTTTTCTGTTGGAAATAGATTGTAAATTTCTGCATTTTACTTTTTCAGTTTTCTTCCAATGAACTGGCTCACAAATTACATGTAACACCAAGTTAACTCATGTAACAAATTGCATTTATAAAGGTGGGGATGTTTTCTTTCTGTCAATCTCTACGCTACATGAATTTGTGCTTTATCACTTGTTAATTGAATGTGTAGCAACACATGTAAGATGAAATTGGTTTGTTCAATTTCCAAGTGTACACTATTTTACGGAGTTATTATTGAATTAAGTGTTCATACCAAAAGGTTGCTTCATTTGTGTCGCTAGGGGACTGTCATCTTAATATGGAGATGACTACATATGTGTCACTAGGGGTGGACAAGGTCCCGTCGGGACTGGAAATAAAGGTTCCGAGCCAGAACTTGAACTGGACTGGTGGGAAATCGGAGGACTGGTCCTGAGCCTCACTTTTTGGGTCTAGGACCGACCGGCAGGTACTAGCCGGTCTGGTCTCAGTTATGGACCTTATGGTCCCACTTTTTTTCATTAGAACCATGGGGAAGCAACTTAAAACGGGTGAGGTCCAATTAAAAGCTGACATAGTTTGGGAGGGGGATAGAGGGTTTTATGAAATAAAAAAACTGGATCAGGCTGGGACATGCATGTTAACCGGAACCTGAAACATCGGTTCCCGTCCCGGGCCTTATATATTTTTTAAATGGCCAGTCCGGGATCGCAATCGAATCGGGCAATCGGCACTGTGTCCATGTGCCTTTGTGAGTATGGTTAGTTGGTTACCACTTGATTTTCACCAAATCAGTGATTCAGTTACCAATGAAAGCACAGTATGAATGATAGAAATCTAAGTCACATAAGATCGATCCGGACGGCCACTCTAGCGACGTGCAGTCTCAGGCGAGAGATGGCGGTGCAGCAATTCGGTCCAACTGTGCGGCTCTTCTTCTCCACCGCAGCACTCTGTCCTCTCCGGCGTGAGGTCGACCCAGAAGGCCACTCTGGTGTGCTGGGTTCTTCTCCCGGTGAGATGTGTATCAGTCCGGCGATGAAGAAGGCTAAGGTTGTTGTTTGACTGTATCTTTAATTTTGCCACATCAGTAAACATTTGGCCATGTCAGCATTTATTACGCTTAAATACAATCGGGTACCGAATTAACACTCGTTTAGCGATTTTATGTACTTCTCAGCCTCGATTGCATCATCAGGTACTCTTTACTCTATGAGTCTATGGGCTACGACTTCGTGTACTGAAGTGACACTTACCTCGTAATTTTAGTGATACAACCGTACAACAGGCTTGACCAGAAACATCATTGGTTAACTACCCAAATACAGAGGAGTACAAAATGGGACATGTACAAAAATAGGAGTATGGTTTCAAAATTCCCCAAATAGGAGTATTTTTTTGTGATTGGGAAAAATGTCCTGTGGGTATTAGTCCCTACCACCTGCCGCCGCTGGATTCCAGTTATTGAAGCTCCGGCAGTCCCAAAAAAATTTCAATTTTTTTTGCCCAGTCCGCTTGCCATGTTGCCGTTGCCGGAGCTCGGTTGCTCGCTGCCGCCACCGCACTGCCCGCCATCAATGGACTGACCCAGTTGCCAATCAATTAGATTAGAAGTATTAGAGGTAGGAAATTAATATTTAGTCTAGGAAAGATTAGAGATTGACTCCTATTTGGGGGAAAAAATTGTACTATGCATATTTTAATCCTATTAAGAGCAATTACAACATCATCAGCTGATCAGCCTTTGAAATAATCGAGGATAGAGTTAAGGTTTTCAAGAATGAAATCCTCAAACCGGGGTGTTGTATCTAGGAAAGAAGAAGATTTTAAACCCATTTGAAACATAGTAAATATATTAAAAAATAAACAACACTATTAATCAGAAAAATATTTTGAATATATAATATTGTAAACAGAAAATTTTGGGGAAAATTCTCTAAATGGAAATGGGATGGGAGTAAATAAAAGCTAATTTGTCTAAAATTCTCTAAAAAAGTTATTATATGTAGTTGGACAAAAATACCCCTCGAGCTGAGCCACCCCTACTGCCACCGTTGTACTGCCCACTGTCGTTGTAGATTAGACCACTGCTGCCGTCGGACTATGCATCCACCAAAGGGGATTGACCTTGATTATACAAGAGAACTAAGAGGCAATTATTTATATTAGATGGACAAATTTACCTTACCGTATATTAGAGGGAGCCTTTGCGGCATTGCGGGAATGATGATGATGATGATGATGATGATGAAGGACAAATTTGGAATAAATGTCCTATTTAAGGAATAAAAATATACGTACTCCTATTTGGGAATTCAAGCGACATTTCCTTCTAATTATGACAATAATTCAAAAATATGTGAGATAAATTAGGACAATTGACATGTCACACATGGTTTTTTATTCAATTAATTACATATATGTGATTCACCAGTATATATATATATATCAGTTTATCCCGATATATATATATATATATATATATAGAGAGAGAGAGAGAGAGAGAGAGAGAGAGAGAGAGAGTGCTCTTCCGGTCAGGAATTCCTGACCGGAACCGCCGTCCGAACGGCGGCGTTTGGCCGCCTTCCGGGTGGAATTTTTCAATGAAATTTTTATGACATGTTCTCCATCAAGTCTAGTTTATCCACAAAAACATTCAGCCAAAAAATCATTCGGGAAGGTCATCAAATGATTTTTGCAAGTTAACTGGTCCGGAAAATACATATTCCGGACCAGTTAACTTGCAAAAATCATTTGACGACCTTCCCGATTGAGTTTTTGGCTGAATTTTTTTGTGGATAAACTAGACTTGATGGAAAATATTCCATAAAAATTTCATCAAAAAATTCCACCGGGAAGGCGGCCAAACGCCGCCGTCCGGACGGCGGTTCCTGTCCGGAATTCCGGACATGAACTTTTGTCTATATATATATATATATATATATATATATATATATATATATATATAACCTACACAAACGTCTTAATACAGACAGTACTTAATAGAAAAGGAGTAAACAACCCTTCAATTTAATATAGAGCCCGTTTGATATCAATAAAATTGATCGAATTGACTGATTATGCTGAAATCGATTAAGTTCTGTCTGATGGTATGCATAATAATTTTTTATTAATTCTAATAGTGACAAATTCAAATGATTTTACTCATTATTTAGTCACATTGAAAATGTTTCAAAGTGTAGTTTTTAAAATTTCAAAACACTTTTCTGAATTGGACATTTATCATAAGTTCTCTAAACTAATCCTTTCAAAAAAAGTTGTCTAAAGTTCTAAACCAATATACGGAGTAAAAAAAGAAGCTTGAAGGGTAACTCAGTTCTTTCGCATCCTTTTCCCTTTTCTACGTCAGTAATCTGGGCATTCTTGATATATGATCTCTAAACAATAGGACTCTTCAAACGAAGGAGAAACTCAATCAGAACAGAAAGAATAGTGAAACTGTGAAAGCATACTTTAGTTTACATTCTCTTCCTATTTATAATATTAAGTGTTCAACTCTATGTAATTTTTAAGTTTCTAAATTCCGAATATAGAAACATAAAATATGACCAATGAATAGTAACATAAAATATGGGATATTAAATATTGAAGATCCATTAATTAAACTTGGATTTCCTTATGTTTTATACGTAGGTTAATTTTTAACTATAGTACGTAGGTTGATGTTTCTAAAATATGACCTATGAATAGCAACATAAAATATGGGATATTAAATATTGAAGATCCATTAATTAAACTTTGATTCCCTTATATTTTATACGTAGGTTAATTTGTTGAAAGTACGTAGGTTGATGTTTCTAAAATATGACTGATAGAGTATTAATTCTAGAGATAAGTGAGAGCTAGAGAGAGAAAGTGAGTAATTATATTTCTCAACTTGGAACCCCCTATAATTAGTCCCATGGGGTCTATTTATAGGTAAAAAGATGGGTTTGGGCCCCTAGCCTTGGGCTTAGGAGGCCCATTACAATAACCATGCCTTCTTTGGGCAAATAAGGCCACTAATGGGCTGAGTACAACACTTAGTACATAAAATAGGAAAATACATTCTGTCCGGGCGAAGTTCGGACGATGCGGTCCATGGACGATGCGGTCCATGGACGATGCGGTCCATGGACGATGCGGTCCATGGACGATGTCATCCAAATAACTCAGGCGACATCTTCTTTTTTGGACGGTACGTGCCTCTGGCCGATGCGGGTGCCCCGCTGGTGTCTTTTGGGCCATTGAGTATGTGGGCTATGGGGTCCAGGCCCATATACTCTATCAGGAGTCCCCCACTCTCTGAGCTGAGGTGAAGCCGAAGCGAAAGGGAGTACTTGTTCCTTTCTGGCTGGCCGTTGCGTGAGCCTAAGGCGTTTGATGGCCGAAGAGTTCCTGTTTTGATTTTGGATGAAGCGGTTCCCTTATTGGAGGTAGATGAAGCGCGCTTGGGAACCCATAGCCTTGATGCGGGCCGATGCACACTCTGTGGAAGTGCCTTTGAAGACGAGGCGATGCGCTTTCTTCTTTGTAGATGATGCGATGAATCCTTGGTGGATAAGTAGGCATGCTTTCGTCGTCATCTTGTTGGGGCCGAAGAGCTCCCATCCATTCTTTTGGCCGTAGCGGTGACATATTTTCATGAGATGGAGATGGTTGATTCCATTTATGTAGACGATGCGATGCACGCCTTTGATTTGTCGAAGCGTTTGTTTTGTGGGTTCTTGCTCTGGTGAGCCGATGCGGTCCCCCAGTGTGCGCAGCCGTTGCGTGCTTAGGTTTTGTATTTTGGGTTTTTCATTTTGGGCTCTGCGGCCGATGTGACCCGCAACGCCATTGAGGTAGCTGACGCGACTCTTAATGCTTTTTTGAGGCGAATCGCCCGTCTTTTGTTGTTGGTGAGCCGTAGCGCATCCTTTTTGCATTAAGGCCGTTGCGTTTTTTTTCTTGTGGCCGATGCACTCCCCCAGTCCCCCACTCCTTTGGCCGAAGAGTATCTGAGGCACAAGGGAGTAATGAGCCGATTCGGTACCTATGCGTTAGTCGCGACTCCAACCCTTAGGCGAACCTGTCCAAGGTAACCCTGTGGGAGAACCCTTGGACGAAGGCCGCAATGCCAGGGTTATCATCGACGAT